ACGTGGAAAAAAATACACATCGGATTCAATAAACATGTTTGCACTCTTTAATATTTTCTGCATGTGAATGTAGTGTGGATGATGCTGGAGCCAGTCCATCTGACGCATCTTCTCCTGTATCATCTCAGGACACCTCCCTGTGTCCTCCAGATAAGCCTTCTCCCTCACAAGACACAGGGTTTGCAGAGAGTGTAGACCCTGAGGACGACATTGAGTCTCTTGAAAGAAAAAAGCTTAATTTGCAAATAAAGTTGCTGGAAAATCAAAATTAATATTATGCACTCAAACTGAAAAAATTAAAGAACAGTCAATGATTGTCAGTGTTGTGGAGTAACTATTTACATGTAACGGAATTACGTAATTTAATTACGTATTTTGTTTTATGTATATGTTTTCTTTTTTTAAGATTAACTGTTAGATGCCTGTGTTTCCTGTCATAGCTACGCAAATATTTGATTTCAATCAACATCATATCTATTAAAATATTTCTTGTCATGGTTTTAAATCTGTATTTAACCTCAGAATGATCTCAAAATAAAAAGGTGCTAAAGTCTGATTTTGTGAAAAATAAATTACTATAAAAAATAATTCTTATAATCCTAATTTAAATGATGAAAAATTCTGAAAGTCTGACAGTAATGAGTGTTGAGTACTACTGTAAGGTTAACCCTGCCTGCTTTAAATGTTTGAAAATGATTATCAGTTGAAAACATGCATTAGAAATTTTGAAAAGTAATCAGTTACATTACTTTAATAAAGTAATTGAAATATTACATTTTAAATAGGGTAACTTGAAATCTGTAACATGTTACATTTCCAAAGTCACCTTCCGAACACTGATGATTGTACATGTTTTTGCAAATAAAATGGTGTGATGACAAATTTGTGCATTGTTACTTATTGTCTACAAGTTTTGCTTACCCAAAATGTAAGTTAACAAAGCAGTCCCTTATTGACTCTCTCCCTGAAACACTTTGTAAAGTTTGCTCAGTGGTAGTGAAGAATGCACTCATTGAAGTAAATTGGTATCTTGTCTACAGTTCAGTCAAGTACAGTACCTGTTATAATTAAGCTGCTGTTCTCCCTGTGGTCTTCTGTTAGAGGTGAGAAGCCAGCGTTTTAAAGCGCACCCAGCAGATGACATCCAGGTCAAACATAAATTTGTTCAAATAACCCCGCAAGGCCACTCTGGGAAAGAACCCGAGCATCATGTTGACCCTGGCCATTTTGGCACAGGATCCAGGATCTTGTAACTGGCATCAAACACAACTTGAACACTGATGCTGTGGAATCCTTTTCTATTTACGCATGTCTCTTCCATTTACTGTTGGAGCAATAATGCAAACATGAGTGCCGTCGATGGCTCCAACTCCAGGGAAGCCCGCAATCCTCATAAAGCCACTTGCTTTTGCTGTATAGTTTGAAGGTCAGTTGGGAAGTCACTGAACCACCTTACTATATTTTGTGTGGTTAGAGCTGCAATAGTGCTCTTTAAAGGGGTCATATGATGCCATTTCAAGTTTTCCTTTCTCTTTGGAGTGTTACAAACTGTTCGTGAATAGATAAGATCCCTAAAGTTGCAAAGACTAAAGTCTCAAACCCAAAGAGATATTCTTTATAAAAGTTAAGACTCGTCCACGCCCTCCTAAAACACCTCGTTT